GGAGGGGGGAGGAGAGCTAGGGGGACGGGAATGTCAGTAGAGGTATAGACCGAATCACTTGTCGTGAGTGGGAGTGTAAGATTAGGTGGGGGGTGCAAATAATGAAGGAAGAAATGGCTCAGTTGAAAGATGAGTGCGTGGGCCGGGGGAAGAGGGATCGGCGGGTAAGTGGAAAGATCGGCGGATGCAAAAGGGGCGATACAGGAAATAGTGGCTGGTCAGCGAGTGGTTGGTTGGGCCGCGCGGTGGTGAAAGATGAGGGTGGTGGGAGATGCGGGGGGAACGAAAGTTGAGCAAGTTAGTGGTAGGATCGGATAGGGATCGGGCGAGAATTAGCTGTGGTCGGAATGGGATCAGGATGGAATCGGGATGAGGTCGAGAAGGGGTCGAGCTAGGGTCGAGATAGGTGAAACTCGGGAGTGAGGTGAGATCAGGGTAGGGAACGGGCTATGAAGGCAGTGGGAACAGGTCGGGGTTGAGATAGGATCGATATGGGAATGAGGTGGGATCGGGTTGGGGTCGGGTGGGGTCAGGATGGCATCGTGGCAGGGTTGGGGTGGGAGTAATTCGAACTTGGGGTAGGAACAGGGTCGAGACTTAGAATGAGAGGGATGTGGGATGTGGTTGGGACCGAGATGGGTTCGGGAAGTGATCGGTGTAGGATCGGGTTGGGGTCGAGGTGGGGCCGAGGTGGTAGCGAATCGGGGTTGGGGGGGAGATCGAAGGGGGGAGATTGAGGGGGAAGATCGAGATCTGTAATGGGGAGAGGACGAAACCGATGAGGGGTTCAAAATGGGATCGGAAAGGGATCGGGAAGGGGTCGAGGTGAGGTCGAGGAGGGGTCGAGGTAGGTGTACTTCGGTGGTGGGATGGGATTGGGGTTGAGATCCGACTGGGAGGGGTGTGGGATCGGGTAGGTTGGGATAGGGTCGCGATGGTGGAATTGGGTTGGGTTCGGGATGGAAACGGGCTGGGATCGTGGTAGTTACTGTGAGGGGGGGGCGAAGCGAGATTGGGATGGGATCAGGGTTGCGATTGAGAAGGCAAAGATGTGGAATGTGGGTGGGACCGAGATAGGATCGAGAGAGGATCAGAGTAGGGTCGGGTTGTGATCGGGGAGGGGTCGAAATGGGGTTGGGGATGGGGACGAGGCAAGACGGGATCAGGGAGGGGGGGGGTCAAGATCGGGATTTGTGGTGAGGGTGATTCGGTGAAAGGGCGGGGGGGGGGGGGGGGGGGGGGGGGGGGGGGGGGGGGGGGGGGGGGGGGGGGGGGGGAGGGGGGGGGGGCTGGCGCGGAGTACTGGCGATTCGGGTAGGCGGTGTTAAGTAGAGACGGTTCTAAGTAGAAGTGAATTAAAAGTCGATTCTATTAATGGATTTGTGAGCTCCCGCTGCGCGTTCTCCTCATCTGGTGTGGTGTGGTTTTCTCTCTCCAAGTCTACTTGTCATTGGACATGTTATGATCCTGGCCAATTTCAAAGTACACACTCATTAGAAAGTACAATGCCGTCCAGTTACAAAAAGAAATAGATGAACTTGAGAGGACTGCGAGGATGTGGCTGGCAGGCCTAAGGGGCCACTTATGCAAGTGTGCCCGGCCTAAGTGAAGGGGGGCCTAACAAATCACGAGAGGCAGAATGCTGTCAATGTCGTATTCGGTGTGACGCGCGTGCGGAGGGCACGTGAGGAGATGGTGAGAGAGAGAGAGAGAGAGAGAGAGAGAGAGAGAGAGAGAGAGAGAGAGAGAGAGAGAGAGAGAGAGAGAGAGAGAGAGAGAGAGAGAGAGAGAGAGAGAGAGAGAGAGGAGATGGACACACACGAGAAGCAGCAGCTGAGTGAAGGTCCAGTCTGACTCAATGAAAGAACGAACAACTGAATGAACCAACTGACCGTCGGGCCTGGGCCTAGGCCAACGTGATATACCGGCCTAGGTCCAGGTACGGGAACAACCTGGTACCGGACCAGGTTCAGGCCGACGGCCTGAAACTGGTCCGGTCTCACTGTCGGGCCGTAGGGGTACCACTATACGATCCTCGGACCTGTGAATGGATCAAGCGAGACATCAAACACACTATCCGCTGAAATAGCGGAAACCCAAAAGGAACGGCGAAGGAAACAATCCTAGATGCGGAGCAAGCTCCATGCAAGAATAGAGATGCAATGCAGACTAAGCCTCAAGCCTAATCTATGCAACAATGTCTGGTCTGAGTCGACCCAAAAGGCAGAAAAATGTCTGACCTGTGTCGGCCAAGAAAGAGAAAAATGTCTGACCTGTGTCAGCCAAGAAAGAGAAAAATGTCTCCTGAGCCAAAGAGGCTGAATATAAATCAACACCAGGGCCCTAAAGGCCAAAGAATAACTAACCCAATGTCCTAAGTCGAAAAAGAATGTGGCATAGTCTCACGTGCCCTGTACACAATGCACAATACCTGAACAAAAGAGAAGGGAACTCAGTCGCATGGCAGATGTAGGAATGGGTGGCAAGGCGGCAGGTACAGCTCTCAGAGTAAACTCCAAGGGGGCACCCACACAACCAGGTAAGGGTCATCAGGCTCAGAGGGAGAGTAACAACACAACACTGGGCTCAATGGACACCATCAAACGGGTACCGCCAGCTGAAAGGGGAAGGGTACTCACACAAGGAGCACACATAAGGTGAGCCTAGAAGGAGAGAGTTCTATGCCGGCATAGACATGTGGCCAAAAGCCGCGAGCAAAGAAAACCCACACTCCAGAGGAGGGCACGCAGCATACGGTAAGGCAGAAGGGCGGCAGGCGACACACCCACATAGACAGGGAAAATAAGGGTCATCATGCGATTGAAGGGTAAGCTCGAGGGTGGTGGATAGATGGGAATAATGGAAACTTTGTAGCCGAAAAAGTGAAGTAGTCCAACTGATGAGTCTTCAAAATGAAGTCGAACCGAAGTACCCTGGATGAAGTAGGAGTACCACAAGAACCGAGTAGAAGTTCGGAACAATGCGACAGGTACTCTAGTACTGAGGAGAAGCACTGAGCTCGAAAGTCGAATGTAGAAGCCGAATGTAGAAGTTGAATGTAGAAGTCGAAACCGGGAGCTTCTGCATAAATGTCCATGAATGGTACAAGATAGAGAGCATACAGGGGGTATAGATCAGTCACGATAACGAGAAGGAAGTCGATGGGTAGGCTGAGGGCGAGAGGAATCAACTGCAACAACAGGCGGAACCACATCCACAGGGGAAGGAGGACCTGAGGCGGGTACCGGTGGAGCAGGAGGACCCATCGATGGAGGAGAGGGAATGCTAGTGGTCGCTGAGGTAGATGGGTTAGTGGGAGGACAAGAAGTAGGAGGGGATGACGATGGAAGGAAAGGGTGAGCACGATCGTAAGCACGCACGAAAGTCATGGCATGCTTCAGGTGCTCGAGAGACTCCCAAGTAGACTCCTCGTCAGGATAACCCTTCCATCGAACGAGATACTCGAGGCGGGGAGGGTCGCCATCAGTCGTACGTCGGGACGCGATATCAGAGACGACAAACTCCTCGTGACCCTCAATGATGATGGGAGAGGGGCGAGGGTTAGGTCGACGGTGGAACTCGGGAGGAGACCGTCTGAAGGAGCACAAAAGAAGAGATACATGGAACACATCATGTAAGTTAGCGAGGTACATGGAATCGGAGAGCTTGAATTTGAAGCTCACCGGACAGTCATGATTGGGTCCGGCGGGTGCAAGAATGGTGCATGGTCCAATATATCGATGTTTGAATTTTCGAAGCATGTCAACTTCAGGCTGGAAGTGACGTGCGTTGACAAAAACCTCGTCGCCAACTTTGAAGGGATGGTCGATGCGAGAGCGGTTAGCACGAGTGGCCATGCGAGCCTAGGAGTCAGCAATGCTCTCACGAGCCTTGCTAAGAAGCGCACCCATCTCCTTTACCCAGTCATCGAGGGTAGGGCATTTGGTGTCGGGATGGATGAGATGGACGGAGAAGGTCAGATGGGACACGAGGATGGTATCCCAAGTCACAGTAGTAGGGAGACATGCCAGTGGCAGGTGAAATAGCATGGTTATAAGCAATCTCTGGGTGAGCAAGATGCAGATCCCAATCAGAGTCATTCTCAATAAACTTTTTGAGGATACTCCCAAGAGTTTTGTTGGTGACCTCAGTCTGTCCATTTGACTGGGGGTGATAGGAGGAGGAGAGGCGGAGCTCGGAGCCATAGATCTCATGGAGTCTACGCTAGAAGTGAGAAGTAAAGCGGGGATCGCGATCAACGACGATGCTAGTGGGAAAACCGTGATGAATGACAATGCGGTTAAAGTATAGGGAGACGATCGGAACTAGCATACTT